TTCGAAGCAGCCAAAGATTTAGGTTGCTAAGTAAAATGTTGAAAATATAAAAATTGCCTTAAAGAAATTTTATATCAACCAAAACATCTCTTAATTTTTGGTAAAAACGTGTTGACATAAAGAAACAAGTAAAATGATTACATGAACAATAAATCTGTCTGAATCATTGTCAAACAAGAAAATTACATCATATAAAAGTAAGTGCGCAAGCATTTAAAATTTCTAAATCCACTCTTCCGTGTAAGCTATGTGAAATGAATGATGAAACGCGAATTCTGGATAGAAAACCGGAAAATTACATATTTGAATAATTATGTAAATGATACTTATTCCAAATTTTGTTGAATTGAATGATTTTGAAACAATTTTTATCCTGGAAATTGTGAAAGGGTATGGGTGGGTACGTTACTAATGAAATCGACTCCTGGAATAATAGACTATTGGTATAAATAGTAAAGGTCATTCTTATCATAAAAATTAAATTTTTACTTTGCTACAGATATTATTAAATTTATTATCCAAAATAGTATAGTAATTGTCTTGATGTTGCTGGATTGTAACGAATGTAAAAAGCTCAACAACGGTAGTATGTGTAGAACAATGACAAATAATTATGACAAATTTTAATATTAAAAATTATTAAAGATTTCGATTTAAGAATTGTTACCTCCCATGTTATATACACCAATTATTACAAAAATATCGATGAAAATGAAAGCAATCATGACCAAAATCAATTAAACCACTATTTTCAGTACTTGAAAAGTTGTTCTAGGAAAAGTTGTTGGTTACTGATACCAAATCATTAAAATAATACCCATCATGCATATATTATTGGCATTTATCATGAAATTATTCTAAATTGAACATGCAAATTATGCATCAGGTATTTTAGACATGTTTATAAGTTCATATTAACATCTGCATGAAATTTTTATTGAATTGTTAATTTTTATTCGCAATTGATGAAAATGCAATAATATTAAAGTTTTAAATAATTATAAGGTTTCATCTTATAACTACAATTTACTTAAAAAATTAGAGTATATAAAATAACTTGAAATAAATCCAGCGGAATGTAATCCTTTTTGTATAATTGTTAATATTATAGATGGAATATCATTAAAAAAAATTCTAATTTTATATATTTTTTTGTATGAGATATTTATAAAAAATTAACTCCTAGATTTTTAAGTAAGAAAAGAATTTTTAAAGATAAAGAAATACTGAAAAATAACATTCAAATATAGCGCAAATAGTGCAAATAATAAAGACCCTTTTTTAACTTCCCTTCCTTAGGGTAACTTATAGTAATGAATCAGACATCGAAAATGAAAATTTTTGCATATCTTTACGTTTCAGAGGTTTCTGAACATTTTGGCATACCTCAGAAAAATGAATGTGTGTGTATGTGTGGAGCCAATTTTCCGTCGACGATTTTGGGCATATAGATAAACCGATTTAAAAAATTCAAAAAGAAATCGATTACTATTGATAGGGAGATGTGCTGATTAGTTTTTGTCAAAGGCAGGTCCAGCGGCTTCGAAGATATGGAGCAAAAAGTGCTAAAAATGTCAGTATTTAAGAGAACGGATCAACTGATTTGAATGATCCAAAAAACATTTGATTTGTAATGATAGGGAGATGTGCTGATTAGTTTTTGGCAAAAGCAGGTCCAGCCGTTTCGGAGATACAGAGTTAAATGTGCAAAAAATGGCAGTTTTTTAGAAAACTAAGCATGATTTAAAAAACTTTCTGCTTGTGTTGATGAAACGATTGCTCTTTGGAAAAAATATTTTTAATTTTTTTTTAATATCGAAAAATTATTCGGTTTTTAATTCTAATTTTACCTAAAGTTCTAAACATCACTTATATATAATACTTAAAATAATTATAATAATCTATTTCCAAGCATTTAATATTACTCGAATATTTCATTAAGGTACGGGAAGTTTTAGCAATTTGCCTTGAGGCACGATGCCATACACCACTAGTTCTTTTTAAACTTGTTGTTCATGTTGACAAAAAAATGTTCATTCATTTTATTAGCAGATTATGAAGCATTTCTATACCGATAATTTATAGTAATTTAAAGATATTAATTTAAATATTCAGTTTTATATTTGTCTTACATGTTGAGAACCAATAGCAAAAGCTATCGTGAAAATTTTCTTAAATAATAAACTTTATAATTTCCCTAATAATCAATTGTATAAACAGCTACTAAGCACGATAAGTTATTAACTGCAGAGCAAAAGTTTTACATTAAACTTTCTCTAGTAACTATAATATCAATTTAAGCCAATAAATTAAATCTGATGTCTATTAGTCATTAAAATAAAGGTTATTGCACACTTGTTAGCAGATTTGATGTCCAGCAAATTAATAATAAAACTAAAATATCGATGAAAGTGATTGTAAAACGTATAACAATGATTATGTGATAAATGTAATTAAAACATAGTTCTCTGTGACATTAATATAGTTATTACTTAATATAGTACTAAGAATGAGTCTAATTTCCTAAATTTACTCACTTTACTCAAGAGAATTTAATTCTTCAATGAATTTAATTCTTGAATGAATAACAATAAATTATTTTATAATTTTGTGCTGATCGTTTTGTTGTTCAGCTTGTGCGATTGTTTCAACGAATCGATGAATTTATAGAAAGTGCATTGAATATTTGCAAAATCTTGATCATTATCCGACTAATTAGCAATTGCACGAGTTAACGCTAATTATTACAATTTTTTTCACAATTATAATGGACTAGTAATCTGTTTAAGTGGAAATGTTCTTTAAATCAACGCAATTAAAACTTTTACAACATTTGTATTCAAATTAGATTTGCACTTTCCTTTAAAACGCATATTTCAACTAATTGAATAATAAATCTTTTAAATTTTGGACTTATTGCGTTATTTATTAAACTGGATTATATAATTTCATCTGCCAAACATATACTGTTGACTGTATCTTATATTATTTTAATTTCTGACATATCTCAGCTGCTTTTTGGCAATAATAATGTATACCTTACATTTTTCTTGTATATTATATTTTTATTTTATCTAGGATCATAATTTCAGCTAAATTCAAATTTCAAGTGAATTGACATTTCTAGCAGATGGCAGTTCAAATGTTTTCAAACAATGATTAGATTGTTTCAAACAATGTTTGATTCAAACAGTGATTTTTTGTAATTTTTTCTACAATATTACTATATTTTTATAATCATTCAAATCCTAAGAAATTCCTTTAACAAACTTCAGAAAGAGTTATCAAACTCCGAATAGTCGTTTAAGAGGAGTATATCGACTTCCACTCGCACAGAAGAATTTTAAATATAAGATATATAATGCAATTTTTCTTTTAATTTAGGTTTACCCAAGTTATTCAAATTAAATAACAAAAAAGCAATTACTTTTTATTATCCAAGTACTTGGAAAAAATATATAAAGACTATATTCACGTTCTGTTTCATATGAATAATAACAATATTCCATGAATGTTCATATTTATATAAAGTATAAACTAACGATTTTTAGATCTGTATATAATGAAACATTTAATTGAAAAGACTTTTACGCATCATGATCATTGAAATTAAATAATTATAGTTAACGTTTTTGATTCTTATTTTACTACTTACTTTTGTATTTTTTATTAATTTCCTTAAAAAGAACAATCGAGAAAAGAGAGAAATAAATTTAGTATAAGACATAAAAATAAAAAAAAGAAGACTACTGTTTTATTTGAAATAGCTAAAATTAATAATTAAAAAATCTATATATATACAAATATATCGCCCTCAAGAACTCACTCATATATATATATATATATATATATATATAATATATATGTATATAAATTAATTATATACATATATAAAATATATATATATATGTATATAAATTATAAAAAAAAATCAGTCTTATAATTTGTTACTAATGCTTTTAATGTTTTATAGGTAAATTTCAAGAAATCTGAAAATGAAGAAATTTTAAAATTAGGAAAAATAAAGATGCAAAAGTGGAAACTAATATATACATAAGTAATATAATTAAAATAAAGTTTGGATCATCATTTTGGATGAGTTTTATCCCAGAGGTTTTTGGTCTGAACCATTTTCAAGGATTAATAGTATGAAAAAATTAAATTATCTAATTCATTTAAGCACTTGGAAAAGTCTAATATGTAGGCATTACATCAACGAAAAGCACCAATTAGTTTACATACAGGACATTAAAACTGAAATATACCAAATTAGTGTTTGATTTGCTTATATTAATATTTTTTAAGAAATACATGATTTTTATAAATGTAATATCCGATTATTAGATACTTCCAAGAGATACATACATTTATACAATATATATATATATATATATATATATATATATATATTTCAAAGTAACTAGCAGCCCATTCGTCGAAATAAAAAAGTATATATATATATACATATATATATATAGTATATATATATATATATACTTGAGGTAGTCCTTAATATGGATTTCGAATTTCCTTGCTCCCAGAAGCTCAAATATTTCCAAATTGGTAAAAAACAATTCTCTGAAAGTTTTAGCTCTTAATATTAATTTTTACATAGTCCGCATCCCATGCAAAGTTTCTTAGTTCTTCTTTCTAAGTAAATATTTATTTTATGAAATATATCAAATTTTTGTTGTATTTTTTTATTTATGATAAAAAAAGCAAATACAATGTTATTCTCACAATTTTGATTCATTTGTTGCTAAGTTATAAAACAAATGAATTTTTATCCATGTTAATTCCATAGAAACTTTGGTGTGAGTGCGGACTATCTTAATATTAAGAGATAAAACTTTCAGAGAATTTTTTTTATCAATTTATAAGCATTTGAGCCCTTGGGAGCAAGGAATTTCGAAAATATCTAAATTAAGGACCACACTAATATATAAGTTTAGGATAACTTATTATATTGATACAAATTAGTATTGAAATAAAACTCTTACCATTTGAAAATTACTGGTACATCAAATTTGCACAAAATCAGTTCTTAAAACATTATCAGAAAACTTTCATTACTTTTCACTTATTAATTATCTTATTTTATTTCTCGATTTTACATGATTTAATTTATTAGAATTGATTGCTTCTGATTAAATTAGTTACATTTTATAAAATGTTAATTAGTAATAATTATAAAATTAATAATATTATATTTAACTTCAATAATGAAATTTATAAATTAGATTGATTCATTTTGTGTATACACTTGATTGACAAAAAGTACATTTTTCCTAATCAGTATCTGATCCTTCTAACTGCAAAATATTTAATTATCAATTTATCCCAATTCATGTAACTGGTGGCACCATGAAATTTGTATCATCTCAATTCAAAAATACTAAATATTCATTTATTATTCAAAAGTTATTCATACATTCAAAGAAACTATTTAAATTGGCACAATCGCATATTTTTATTAGAAAACTGCTTTGGATCGGGAACACGAATGCACTAATCGGTCACCTCAGTAGAAATGATAGCAAAACTAGTAAAACACATCAACCGTAAATATATTTCCCTTTCTCTCAAATTTGCTTTATAGTCTGAGATCTGGGGGAAAATTTGTAGGGAAAAATCAAATAAATAAATCAAACTTTACCATTTGAAAATTTATAAACTTTATTTTATAAAAAAAAATTATACAAAAACTTGTGCATTCAATTTTAAGTACATAGGTTTTACTTATATGATTATTATTATTCAAAATTGTAAACTAATATGATACCATATTAGACATATTTATTAGTTTCACCGCATTTTTTTATATCATATTACTTTTTATATATTTTAAACTAGATGTCCAATTTACAATTATTTTTTTATCATCATAATTATTTTATTAAATATAATAGTTTAAATTAAATTTCTAAAATATGACTACAAATTTATATTCTGTTTTAGGTTCATAATGATCATAGAAGATTTTATACCAAGAGGAACCTTATTGTTGCAAGGTTCCATTTATATAAATTATTGAAAAATAAGAGAATCTAAATTAAAAGAGCTCTTAAATACATTTTAAAAAATACAGTTTCTACATACTTTGTTTAAACTTATTATATTTTATGATTCTATAGTAATTTTCTCATTTATCCTAGGTTTGGGCAAGAATATATTTATTAAGATAAATTATTCAATAATTTTGATGTTGTCATTAATTATAAATAAGTATACAAATAAATATGTAGAATTTAGTTTTTGAAGCGCTCTTAAAATTACAGATCCAAAAAGTTATTCTGAAAATAAGATTTGTTAAAAGACAAATTGAGGAAAATTCTAATTCCAGAACTTTGGAAAACAAACACTAAAACTGATGATTTTCGCCAAATAAAAATTAATCACGTAAATTAAAATAATTAATCACTTAAATAAATAAAATTTCTGAATAATAAAAATGATACTAGAAAATCTATAAAGTGGATTAAAAACAATAAGTGACAGCTAATAATAAATATAACAAAATAGCAATATTAGAAATAATAAGATAATAATATAATAATAATAATAATAATATTAATATTAATGTTAACGTTTACAAATGGCTTTTATAAGTAGTGCATGTTTTTTATATAATAATATATATTTGTAGTTATTGAGAAAAGTACATGAATAATCATAACTGATTATTAAACAATTGAAATACCTAGTCATATCAACAATATATTTATATACGCATATAGAAAAATGTATATCCACTACTAAAATTATTATATATAGCTTTTGTATAACATACATTTATTTATCTATCTATTTTGTATAATTATTAAGTTTACTTGGTCTATTACCTTTTTTGGTTAATAAATTTCTATTTGTTATATTTTTTCATAACCTTTGTGTGTAAATATGATATTAGCTCTCTCACTATGATAATATTCTTGTTTCTGATATTCTAATTCTTTGTTGTTTTGCATACTGTAGAAATGCAGATGAAATTGACTTTTCTAACTAAGTGATCGATTTCGAACACCTATCAATTCAAATGCATATATATTTATAAGAATTTCAACATAGCATCAGTATTATTTGTTTATAAAATGGTTAAATAATTGGTCTTTGCATTATTTTTTTTAAATACTCAGAGAAACAAAATGAAAAATAATGTATTAAGTTTAAAAAAAATATGTAAGGATTCAATTATGTTTAATAAATATGTTAAAACCCCTTTAGAATAATTTTGTGATCAACAAATAGTTTTAAGGGCGCTTCTAAAACTGAATTCTGCATATTTATAAGTAATTTTTTTATAAAAATTAATGACCACATCAAAATTATTGAATAAATTATGTTAAATATATTCTTGCACATACCTTGGATAAATGAGAAAAGTAAATTATGTGATGTTTAAGTTAAACTTTAGAATAGTTTTGTGATTACTTAATAGCATTAAGGGCACTATAAGAAGTGAACTAACTAAAAAATATAATAAATATATATTATTACATTATACAGTAATTTATCACAATTTATTAAACAGTAACTACATGTTAAAAGTTTAGTTACATGTAACTAAAAAATCCCTTTAGCATAATTTTGTTATAATCAACTGATTTCAAGAGCGTTAGAAAAATTCATTTAAATAATGAAAATTGATAATAATTGATTTAAGTAAATGACAATGTTTATTAATATAGAAAGTTGCGTTATAAGTAAACTAAGGTTTTGAAGAAGTATCACACGTTCTAATTATTATCAATAAATATATATATATATATATATATATATATATATATATATATAATTAGATTAATACCATTCACATGTAGTAAAGATCCATAATTATAAGCAAAAAAGTTTTTACACAACACAATATTTAATTTTAGTTGAATATTATCAAATTAAGTTTATAACTCAATCTCCAAAATATGATAAAGCTATATATATATTAACATATTACCATTATTAATCAGCATGTTAAGCAATAGCAAATATAATTAATTGCTTTTAGTAAAATTTTCATAGAACGGAAACCCGTTCAGCAATTTCCATTTCTGGTTACCCAACAAGGAACTGATTTACTTTATACATTGCGAATTAATTACATTCGTCATTCAAAGTGTTTGTATTTATATAATATTATTAGTTTTTATAATGAATTGGAGGTATAGAAATAATTATTATTAACGTTTTATAATCTGTATTCAAGCACTTCATTCTTATATAACGGGTTGCTATAACTGACAGAAACTTTATGATAATTATTTCTTGTGAATAATATATATATATATATATATATATATATATATATATATATATATATATATATATATTGTACAAAACATTTACTCTTGCATTATCTATATTTTTTCTGAAATTATATATTAATTCTTATTCACTTACTGTGACTAACGTTGAAATTCACAGAATTCTCGTTCTTGTTTTCAAAATCCATGTTACAAATATATTAAATTCCAGCTATAATATTATATACAAGCTTCAATATCTAATCTAAATTACCGTATTGTAAGTAGGCATTATTGAAAGACCACTGCAAATTATTAAAATCACGAATTAAATAATATTTCCTTTTTTTCTTCTTTTTAAAGGTCCAATTTTTAAAATGAATTGATCCTTGGCTTTTCACAACATCATAAAAGTAAATAAACTGTTAATGATATTATTTATAGCAGAAGTGCTGCCGCGTACCTGTAGAGGAACACCAGAGCCACATTTAAGCAGTATTGAATAAATTTATTTATAATTTGAAATAATATATAAACTCTATTTATATTATTCAAATATTTAATTACCATTGTTATATGCGTTTATAAAATTCATTATGTATAATAAAATATTGACAATATTTATGTAAAATGTAAACTTCATAGCAGAAATATGTAAACCAATACCATAAAAATTTATTTCCCGTAGGGTAAGTTATAGTAATCGCAAAAAAAATCGAAAATTAAAATTTTTATATATCTTTATGATTTAGAGGTTTCTGAACATTTTGGCATACCTTAGAAAAAATGGATGTATGTGCGTGCGTGTGCGGATACAATTTTTTTTTCATATTTAAGGGTATTCTTTAAGCTGTAATTACCAAATGTGTCAAATAATAATTACAATCTTAATATAAAAGTAATTTATTTAATTTAACTGCTAATAGTCGTCAAATAAACCACTAATTTTATAAAAATAAGTATTTACTTAAATTTGTTCAAAGATCATATAGGACTAAACGCAAAATCATATTATATTAAAAATGACATAGAATATTAATGAGTATTATAGATGTTTTGTTAATTTTTTAAATATTAAAAATAAATGTTTCCTTGCATTTTACAAACCTGCCCTGTACTTGTTTTGTGTTGTTCGAATTTTTGTTCCAAGCAAAAAAGCTTCTGTTCGCCTGATACATGCACCGTTAATATATACTCACGGCGTCCCTTGCCGGTAGTAATATCGCGTCTGTTCCCCTGGTAGAAATCGGCTCTCCGAAAGACAAAAAGTTAGCAAATTTTCGTTTTCGGACGATAGAAGAAATTCGAGGATTTCAATGGCGTCTTGTACGACTAGATGCCTATAGTCAGGCGCATTTATTAATCAACTGTCAAGATTGTAATGGATATATAAATAGTGAAAGGAAAAATATGTATTTTTGATTATCCACTGATATATATCCACGAATTTTTGACATAAAATATTGAAAGGAAAAATGTGTCCATGGTTTTTTAAATTCACTCAATTCAAATTGCATATATATGTATATATTGATAATGGTTTCTTTTCCAAACAATTAATCCAATAAATAAAAAACAATATTTTTTTGCAGATGTCTAATTGCGACGTTTCGGAACTAGGTACGTTCCATCATCAAGAACAATATTTAAATATAGAATAACAATATTAATGATGATTACAGAATAATAAATTTTTTTTTATGAAGTAATGGATTATGCACTTTTTCTTAAAAAAAATGAAGCACAAAGAAAATATATAAACAAATAAATTGAGAGGCAAACAAATTATTTACCTGCAATATTGATTCATATAGTTACAGAACTGTAAAACTGTAAATATTGAACAGGAATTTCCACAAAAAATCAACTCTAAACTAAAAACAATCCATTAGCCATGTTTAATTTATTTGTCAAATTAATTAAATAGTACATTATAACATTTTAAAGAATATTAGTACTAAATAATGTCATCATAGCCATATTAATCAATAACAAATAAACACCAGAATACAATTTTTTGTTGCAAAATAGACGATCCAATTCATTTTATGTACATTAAAAAAACTTATCTAAATATTCCTTACATTGTAATTCTTATTTTATATGTTGGATTTAACTTATAGATTAAAAAACTAATATTATTACTAAACTATAATGAAAGCAAATTACTTAAAAGATTTTATACTTTTTATTATATTACATTGATTTTAGTAGTCCTTTCAACAAAACTTTTTTCTAAGAAATCAACTCAGAAGGTGTAAATTAGAATCTTGTCTTCATAGAATAGATTATAAAAATAATGTTCAAGCTCTGTCTGCTGTTATCAGAACCATACCATAGGAAAGTTAAACTTTCATTCTCATTCTGATCTTGATTTAGAAGAATTTGATAAAAAAATAAGTATATATAAAAAGTTCATTTTGCCTCTTCTTATGTTTGAATAAATATACGACATTTTCACCTTTGCTTCCATTTTTCATTTGATTGTATTCAAAAATTCAAATCACTGAAACAATAATATAGGTTAATGACATTAAGAATATTATTAACAAAAGTAAATAGTAAAAGTTAACTTATAAGTAATACTAAAAACTGCAAAATAAATCCTGGAAAGACGAAAGTTTAATCAAATTCCCAATTACAATTTATAGTACCTTTTCTTCCATTTCATCAGTCATGGCTTGAGCTTGTTCTGAGTTTTCACCTTCTTGTAATTGGCAAAGTTCATCTAAATTGAAAGCCATGCCCTCTTTTTCTTCGCCTTCTGCTAATTCACTATCATCTTTAGCCATTAGTTGTGATAAATCAATACCTGCTTCTTGGGCTTGTTCTAAAGTCATTTGAACCTGCCAAATAATATTAAAAGTATAAAAAATAAAGCAGTTAATACCTTAACTAACTTTTTAAAATCAGCTATTCATAAATAAAATAAACATTTAGATTACCTCTCCCTCATCAGTTTGTACAATAATAACTTGTGATCCATCTAATTGCATTTGCATCTGTTCTTCTTCGCCCCCTTCTTGTTGAACTACAACACCAACGCTCTGTAACAATTGTTGCAACTGTTCGTTATCAGCTCCTTGTACTGTTAAAATTTGCCCATCACTAGATGTTATAATTTGATTGCCATCAGCATCAGTCAGAACATGATTGTCCAATTGTAAAATCTGACCGTCACTCGTAATCAATTGATTATCTGAATCCAACATCAATTTGATCTCTCCTGATTCTGGTTGTTCAGGATTCATATTTTCCACTTCCATGGGCACAGGATCAGTGTTAGATTCACTTCGGTGTTCTTCTTCTAGAGGCATTGCTTCAGCAGGTTTATCAGAAGTATTTTGAGAGCTGTTAGTTTCTGGGGTTGCAGGTTTCTCAACATTTTCTGGTGCTGTAACATCAGAATCTGATTTCTTGCTAGATTCTGCTTCAGGTTCATCCAGATTTGGCATGTCAATTGGCATAGGTGGAGAATGTGAAGGCCCATGTCCAGAAGTCACATAATGTAATTTCAGATGATCATTGTCACCATAAGCTTCGTTGCAAGTTTCACATTTGAAGATTAGAACATTTTCATGTTTTCGTATTGTGCTAGCTGTTATTTGCTGCTCAGGGTCCAATGCGTCTACATCTTGTGGAATGCTGATGTTAAATGTAACTTGCTCTAAGGTGTTATTGGCTGTAGTAGTGACAACAACTGGAACTTCTGTCTTTTCAGAATGCATTTTTTCAAAAATGCTTTCCAAATCACCATCTCGCAATTCAGTGCTTTGGGTATTCAAAATACTTGTGTTATTTGTTCGAACATCTTGCCTTATTAAACTTTGACCAATCTTTTTTCCATCACCTCTATGCTGCTTCATATGTTGTGTGTAAATACTTTCTTGCAAGAATGTTAGGGAACATGTTTGACAAGAGTAAAATTCAATGCCCTTATTATCTACAGTTTTGGCTGGAACTTCTGCTTCATTTGCTGTGTCTCTTAAAGCTTCTTCAATAGACGCCTGTAGAAGTTTTTGCGTTGAGTTGGTGCTTGGTGTGGATGTTGATACTGTTATAATATTAGTTTTAGCCGTTTCATGAGTTTCCAGATGTTTAACCAATGCCTCTCTTTTTGGGAAAGGCAGATTGCAAATACCACATTTGAAATAATCAGGTTGATGTGTCCTAGCATGTGTCGTAGCTTGTTCCCGGTTTTCAAATCTTTGAGAACACACTCTGCATTTGAAAGGCCTTAGATTAACATGTTTCTTCATATGTTCTTCATATGCTTGTTTGTCATTGATTTTGAAGTTACAAATATTGCAAGAAAATTTTTTGATATCAACCTTTGGAGCAGCACCTTGTGCTTCTAAAGTTTTAAGACTAACATGTTCACTTTCTTTCGATTTTACATTCTTCTTGGAACATTTTTCGTAATGAGGTTGGAATTGTTGTAGATCAGTCGTTTTGAAATTACATGAAGCACATTTGTAAAGTCTAACTGTTCTCGTCCTATCATCTTTCTGAGAAACTTTAACAGGCGAACCAAACATATTGGATAATTGGTTTTCAACCTCTACAGAGGCATTATTACTTGCTTCTAAAATGTTATTTAAATCTTCGTTCTGCTCCATTTTTAACATCTTTGCTGGTGGTTTTTCAATATCATCATCACTGATCTTATATTTAACCTTAAGGTACCCAGAGAGAGTGTTTTGAACTCGTTCCAAGTCAGTCTCAAGCCTGTCCATATGATTGAACAAAGATGAACACCTCTTACATATTACATCATCCATGGACACAATGACCATAAAGCCATCTCCCATAAGTTTGCCAATTTTGTTAGGTAATGATGTTTTACTTGAAAGTGTAGATGTCACAATTAATGGAAATCCAACAGTTTCAATATCTCCATCACAGACAAAGCATTTTTCACATGCTGGTTTCTGCTTTAGAATGCGAGGGACTGTGGAACTAGTATTTTGAGCTGGCATGGTTTTTGTTATCACTCTACGATTTATGTCAGAACTCTGTTGTGGTGGATAGGCCTAAAAGAGAAATGGAACTGTACAAAATGAACTAAAAACTATACTATATATAATGTATAAGAGCTTGTGAAGCTGAAATAGTTACTATTAAACAGCAGATAAATAGAAAATACACCATAAATATAAATACACAATGCAAATACAAGTGGGGTTAAAATTGTGTCATAAATGTTATAGCAATTATGTAAATGATTTTGAACTGTTTATAATATGCATACATGTATAAATATATACCCTTTATATTTTTATATATTTATAAAATGTAAATATAAAAGTGTTATGTTGAACATATAATTAATCTGTCAAGATTTATACTATGCAAGAATACAATAAGAAGCAAGCAAAAACGTACAAGCGAAATTAGGTTAAACCATTCATAATGAAAGTTAGTCGTGTACTAAAGATGTATTTCTATAAAACAATGAATTAATAAAACCCATACATTCCCATTATGTTCTAAATAAATAAAAATCAAATTGTCACGGAAAACGCGGGAAACACACAAAAAATAATAAGAAGCATTTCCATTTGACAAACGGTTAATACTTGTATCGCATTAAGCAAGCATTTCTAACGACTTTAAAGATGTTTCAACTTTCAATACCTTTCGAACAATATTTACTGATTTTCTCATGATGTATACTAGTAAATACTTTTACCAAGTTCTTTATAATAATTATAGAGAAGCACGGGTTAACCAATATTCAACATGGCAGCTTCACACAATCACAAATCACATCCGGCAATAGAACAGTCCACAATGTTGTAATAGCATTTCATTTCGAAGGAATAATTAATTTTTTTAGAAGTATAAAATCGCCACTGACTTTTTGCAGATCATACCTATATTAAATTTTGTGTAAAAATATTAAATCAAGCCGGCGCGCTTACAAATCCAACGCAACTAAAATTGTCGAGAGTAGATTCTGCAGAATGGCGTGTTACATTTTCAAACGGCCTTGTGGCACCCTCTTTTAAACAACGGCTACACTATATAATAAAGGTTTGTTTATTGGATATGATTAGCTATGAACCAACTAAAAATATGCACTTTATAATTTTGTTTTCAAAACTAGTAGGATGCATGGCATCGTGCCTTAAGGCAAATTGCTGGAACTTCCCGTACCGTAATTAAAAATCTTGGTACGAAACCCAAAAAAAATTACACAAAATGTGTGCACATTAACAAAATCTCTGTAAAATATCTGATAATTTGGTGTATATATGTCCAATAAATATTTTTGACCGCCAAATGGCATTTTTTTAACTTATTTTTATTGAGAGTACATAACCGCTAGACCTGCCTTCCCAAAAATTTAATCAGTTCTTCATCTTTCAATACAAGTAAAATGTTTTTTGAAATATTGAAATTGGACGCTCCGTACTTTTAAGAACTGAGTTACCGTTTTTGCCACTTTTTGCCCTGTATCTTCAGAAACGGTTAGACCATGCCAAAAACTAAAAAGCACGTCTCCTTATCAATAGCAATCGAATGCTTTTTGAATAATTGAAATCAGTTGAACCGTGTTCCCGAAATCGTCAACAAAAATTTGTATCCGCACACACACACATACACGCACACACACACACATACATCAATTTTTTCTAAAGTATGCCAAAATGTTCAGAAGGTTTTGAAACGTAAAGATATATAACAATTTTCATTTTCTATTTTTTTGCGATTACTATAACTTACCCTACGGGAAGTTAATAAAGACAAGAAAATTTAATTTATATATTTTATATAAAAACATAAAATACAAAACATAAGTAGATAAATACAAATAAATGTCTTTCAAAGCCACTCCAACATAAATATATATAAGTGTAATAAATAATCTACATATATAATGATTATAATGTTCTTAGTTAGAGATTTTATCTAAATTTGTAAAATTTATACATCAACAATCGTGTCTTTTTACAGAAGATACTTTAATAACATTCTATAATTATTATCTCATATTATACATCCACACAAAAAAATGAGTTTAACCAGATTGTCATGAATTGAAATTAATGGATAAAAATTGCATGAACTAAATGTATTTAATTATTCAAATGTTTATATATTTATATTTAGTATTTAGGAATATACATTCGTGGTCACATTAACAAAACATTGATAGAAATGCACAATGTTACAAATGCTATTTTTAGTTATTGTTACATCATAACATATATACATATATATGTATATATAATGTATTGGTACAGGATCAGATATCTCTCTATTAACATACAACTAAACCTGATAGGAAGTCAATTGATTAAATTTGAATGATTGACATTTTTAGCACCACATCTATGATTTTCTACACAAAAACATGTGTTTTTGATTTTATTGATTTTTTGCCTAATTTGGTTAAAATTTGATGTCCAATAGCATTATTATTGATAACATTTTTGATTAAAAGACATGTAAATTTATTTCTAAATAGGTACAATTGTAGCGCTTCAAAAATCATGACATAAAAATAAACCATGAAATTATTTAAACAAATATTCATAACAATCAAAAATGTCCAAAATTGACCTTGTATAAAATTCAACCAGTGAAATGGTAATTTGTTATCAGTAATTAGTTTTTCATATCATTAATAAAAATGGTAAAAGTGATAATAATAAATTTTAATTATTAATGTATTAATAATTTCTTATTGCACCTAATAATCTACTGAAATGTACAAGAAATTGATTTTGAAACTTTAAATTGCCATTTTTTAATATTTAATCAGTATGATGACAAATATTATATACCATGATAAATAAAATGTATTTATTTTGACTATTTTAAAATAAATTAATTGCACTGAATATTGTGCAAAAATTTAATTTTACTTCAAAATACATGAAGAACTAACTACATATTAATTACTCATTTAAAATTTTGGAACATGAATTAAATTTTAAAATTTTGGGACTAGTTCGTACGCATTTCAATTAAATTCAATCTTGATGGTAAAAAGTTTTGAAGCGCTCTATAATTCAATTTACTTACAGATAGATTATTTATAATAAATTAACAAAGTATACTTATTTAAATATTATACTAATTTTTTGTTAATTCTAATATTGATTTATTAAAATTATTCAGTCTGTTTTTTCTAAGATTTTTGCGATTTATTAAACTTTTCATCGCCTAATCATTTCATATATATTATCTGAATCTTAATATTGTATTATCATCAAAAAAATATAATATGCCCCTCTAAAAAAACATTAAAAACAAAATGTAAATTCATGATCAATATTATCAAATAATGAAATGATTTGAAGAAATTTTGCTTTCAAAATATAACTATATATATTACATCATTTATGGTAGATAGATTTCTAATTATCATGAAAATGTGATGAGGGGCAATACAATCAATACAATTTCCAGTAACCCTGTTTTTTTCATAAACATAAAAATATACATCAACAATCGAATTCTTAAATTTTACTTATATAAGCTTTAAGCTCTTGTGGAATGATATGCCATACACATTAAACATTATCCGTTAAATAACTAATATATTTATAAATATTATCATTTGAACCAAAACTACCAAAATTTGGCCAACAAGTTGATCATATCACGACAAATCATATCTAGCTAATAAATTGTCTAATTAACTCTTCTTTAATTTCTATTTATCCTACTATTAATATTGCGCACATTATCATTGCTTATTTGTTTCATCGTCCAATATCATATAAATAATGAACACTTTTAAATAAATGCTTTGTAATAAATAGAATCTTCATAATAAATAATTTTATAATAATTTAATATAAATATTTTTCTAATATCCAATGATTTTTAATTGAGCATGCAAATTCTGTTAAACACCTTTATTAATATCTCACACTTTAGATCTAATAAAATGAATATTTTAATAGATCAAAATAGTCAAATGGTATGGAAATAGTTTTTTAAATATATTTGTGGAATCGTTCTTAAAAAGTCAGTAGTGGCATTTTGTACATATTATTTTTTCTATTCCATTAGTTAGGATTATATTTTCATCATATAGTCCAAATCTTCAAATGCTTAGTCATAATATAAACTTTATTATTGTTGAATTAACAAAAAAAAACAACTAATTTCTAATCCAAAAATTATTAATAATCTTGTATGAATAAAAAATGATAATATTAAAAAATAAATATCAATGACGTTGAAAAGTATAAATATGTATAGTATGTATATAATCTTAAAACTAGTCGTGAAGCCAAATTGCTGGAACTTCCCATACCGTAATTAAATATTGGAGGAATATTAAACGTTTTTAAATAACTTATATATGTTTGCAGAACTTAAACAAAACTTAATCAATCGGTATTGTTTAATATTTATATGAATTATATAAGCTGAATTGCAGAGTTAAAATTAATTATTTTGAGTATATTATTGAGCTTTAGAACTTTAGCTAGAAAAACAATTAATATTTGATTTATTTTCGATATTCAAAAAAAAATTTTTTCAAAAGCAAGTGTTCTGTCAACACAAGCAGAAAGTTTTTTGAATCATTCAATTCAGATGCTTATTTCTCTCAAAAACTGCCATTTTTTGTTTATTTAGCTCTGTATCTTCGAAATAGCCGGGCCTGCCTTTGCCAAAAACTAATAGCCATTTCTCCCAATCATTACTAATTGAATGTTTTTTAGATCATTCAAATCGTATGCTCCGTTCTCTCAAAAAACGATTTCTATTTTCTGCACTCTTTGCTCTTTATCTCCATATCGGCTGGATCTGCCATTGCCAAAATCTAATCAGCAGATCTCCCTATCAATAGGAATCGAATGTTTTTTGAACCATTCAAATCGGTTGATCAGTGCGCCCGAAAACGTGGACGAAACATTGTATCCATACATACATACATACACACACACACACACATGAGGTATGCCAAAATGTTCAGAAACCTTCAAAACGTAAATAAATTGTAAAAATTTTCAATTTCGATTTTTGGACGATTACAATAACTTACCCTCCGGGATGTTAATATGATGAATTTATAATAATATTATGAAGAAATGGCTGAGCGTATGACTAATGGAATAGAAAAAATAATTTAATTGAGTATTATTTTTTATAGAATTTAATTGTCGAATCTCACGAGTTTGCCACTTATTTAAAAAATTAAAATTATTTATGTATCTTTATATTTAGATTCAATTGAAACCTCAAGATCAGATAAAATACCCTACAATTTAAATCTTCCAACATTCTAAAGAACTACATAAATACCTCTAATCTCAATTATCATCTTCACACTTCGGTATATCAAAAATCTCAGCAAAAAGCGGTGGCAATCTTAAATTTGTCCAGTTTCCCCTAAACCAATCCAGATGCGAATTATGTCTCGATCCAAGAACTCTTAATTCTGGTAATTTGGCCTCTAAAATTGGCAAGAGAGGACTCAGTTCTCCTGGTCTGGTCCTGGATATCTGCACTCTTAGTGCTTCAGTGAGACGTTCCCGTACCCTTGTGACTGATTTGTGGACGCTAATTCCGGCCCTGTCTGGTGCAATCAGAACTAATGATGAGAAAAGTCCTAGTTCAGTCTCACTTAGACCCAGGGCATTCAGGGAATTCGTGAAACGAAGTAGAGCCGTGACAAACTCGTTCTGGAAATATAATAAAGTAAATAAAATGTAATAAAAAAAATAATTTAAGATAATGATGGAAAATGTTGTTTGGAAAATTTAAAAAAAAATATAAAATATATTCGCCCAACGTGGGGCTCGAACCCACGACCCTGAGATTAAGAGTCTCAT